ACTGGAGCCCCAGTGGACACCTGTCCTGAGAGAGCAGAGAGTGACAGAGATGCTGTGCACTGGAGCCCCAGTGGACACCTGTGGGATAATCTGGGACAACAGGTAGCACTGGGGCTCAGAGACCAGTGAACAGACACACGCTTGTCCAGACTGTAGGAAAGGAGACACAATCCCACAATCCGGCTTCTCACAGCAGAGCCTGTTGAACAAGCCTGTGCATGACCAACGCTAATCAGCACCATTCATTTATCTCTGTTACAGGTGATGATGAAAAGCCACAGACCAGAAGAGGACCCCACCTGATCACAGCTAAACTGCTCACCTGAGGGAGGGCTGCTGCTACAGCACAGTGCCTCACCTCCCTGAGACGCTGCAAGCTACACACACTCCTCCCGGGGCAGGCGTGAGCGCACACCCTGAAACTGGGGAGGTGAAAGCGCCAGCGGGTCGGGCTCCGGCGTGTTGACCGAGAACAAGGGGCCGAGGCGCTCATTTGCATATCGCCACACGCGCTCTTTGACCCCGCGCAGCCAGACTTCCGCCCGCCCGCCGTGTGGCGCTCGTGAACTCGCCGACTGCGCTCGACACGCCCCGGACCGCGGGCTGTAATTGTCTGCGCTTAATTAAAGGACCAGGGCGCAACTTCCTGACTGGAGCTCGCCGAGCCTGCTCGTGAGCAGGGCGAGGGAACGCAACACGTCGGATAAAAAAAAAAGCGCCTTAGCTATTGGTCGGCTCCACACCCCTCCCTTTTTTTTTCGGGCTAATCTTCCTCCTCTCTTCCCGAAAGAATGATGGGAGGATCCCATTGGACTGGGAGCCGCTCCCAGCTGCCGCGCCCTGGGGGGTACCGTAGTACACGGGGTATGCGCACACCTCTAAACAATGAGCTCATAAGTCTGTTTTCTTATATTCCAAGCGTATGGAATAAAAGCAGAAACACAGATCCTGTACGTATTATTATTATTATGATAATGATGATTCTTATTCAGTCCTGGGAACTCGCAAACAATTCTGGTTCCACTTCCAACCTCTCTATTAAGATGAACATGTATGCAAGAAATACGTCATCAAAACTATCAAACAAAATGAACATCTGGGCTGCTGTTCTGTATTTCTAAATAAGGTATACGTTAATGACACTTGAGAGGAGGCCCAGGCGCTAGCGGGGGGGACAGACGAGCCTCCGGGCGCGCTCCGGTTTTAGGGTGTCCACCTACCCCGGTCGTTACGGTAACCCCTGTACACATCCCCCTCCCAGCCCTGCTGCGCGAGATTCACGGGCTCCAACTTTAACAGGGAGAGTCGACAGGGACACGGAGCAGCGGAAAGACGGGAACACGGACAGAGAAAGAGAGGTGGGGAAAAAGAGGGAGGGGATAGTCCTTTTTTTTTGTTTTCTTTCTTTCTTCCTCGCTTGCTTCCTTTTCTGGCTGGGGTGTCCACACCCATGTAGTCGCGGAGCGGAGTCGGTACAGTCAGACGCCCGAATTCGGCGGCGGGGAAAAACCGTGAGAGAGAGAGAGACAGACTCGGAGCAGCCCCGGCAGCGCTCAGGCCCGGGACACGCACTCACGCACGGCCCCGGGAGACACGGCCAAGCGTACACACACACACACAGGCACACTCGAGTCCTCCCCGGGATAGGATTTCGGCGTGCGGGAGAGGACGGCTCCTAGGTAGGTCTCAGCGGCGGCGGCGGCGGG